AAAAAAATAAAATAAAATTCAAACATTACCGAACATCTGTGATCATCAGATCGGCCCATATTCAATCTGGGTCGTTGGGCTCATATGTCCAGATGAGCTAGTGGGCTAACCTCAACTTTTTTTCCATATATATTATTTATTTATTTACAATGTTATGTGACTAACATCTTGGATGAGTTACTCGGACAAGTCCTATTTGTGAGGCCGAGTAGGTTCACTTATTATAAATAATGTTATACTTATTTCAATTTCAATAACATATAAATATCTTTTTGATTAATGCCTCTAAGGGTTGTGGCGGTTAGTTTGGGGTTCAAACTCTATTGCCACTATGATTTCCTTTCAGAAAAATGTTTCGATAGGGCTGCAATCCTATCAAAGTAAGTAAAATCTCATCTCAGAACTCATTGAAAATTGCAGTTTTGGCATAAAAAATTGTTCAAATCAAAGTAAGTAAAATCTCATCTCAGAAATCATTGAAAATTACAGTTTTGGCATAAAAAATTGTTCAAATCAAAGTAAGTAAAATTTCATCTCAGAACTCATTGAAAATTGCAGTTTTGGCAAATCAATCATGTCTTCACAAATCTACGAGATTTATACCATTTTATGAGCTTCAAAATTTCATAGTTTGCGTTGAAAATTGATTTTAAAGCCATCATGAAGATTTCTGTTGGATTTGGTGCTGTCCAAAATCATTCACATATGAAAATCCCATATTTTGTGGGATTGATTGAGATTCATCCATATTATGTGGGATTGAGATTTTCCCATATTTTGTGAGCTTGGGATTTATATTGATAATTTTTTTAAAGGAAATAGAAATCCAAAAAGATTAGGACTCTTGAAAGATTTGACTCTTGAATTTATCCCGTGGTTTTGAGATACATGTTATATCAATAGACAGTTTCCTATTTTGTGTGGATTCTTAATTATATATATGAGATGAAAGTACAGAGAATTCGTGTGCCTAATTTGGGTTACCATATGGGAATGGTTGTTCCTCTAGAGAGAGGGGGAGGTAGAGCCTCCTGTGCATAAGATGCGATTTCCTCCTAGAGAAGTGAGCTTCATTTGGACAAAAACATTGTGATGGTGTCTCGTTTGGACTCCCAAATATTGAGGAGCTTGTTTATTGTAGAGAAGCGGTTCCCATAGACGTTTTAGGTTATTCCCCATTTAGTTGGAGAGAAAATAAGTTTCTCGTTGCTCTCCTATTTCTATCTGGTGTTGTCGATATTGCCAGAAGTAAAGAGAAAGAATGAATAGTTGTTTAAAAGGGTTTGTTCGACTTGGGTTTTTTTTGGTCGAGGTTTGTTCCAAATCTTTGATGTAACTTTCATTGGTATAGTGAATTTTAGTTTGCCATGCCTGTTGATGTAGCTCTCTTAGGGTGAACCACGTAAATCTTTGTGTTCTTGTTGTATGTGTTTCACGATTTATTTTTCATACTTTATTTGTCAAAAATCAACCCATCAGGTTTAGAGAGGATTAGACGTGGGGCTGTACTTTCTTTTCATAAAGCCCAAACTTTATAAAAACGAACATCCTTCTTTTTAAATGTATTTTTTTTTTTCTCTTTTTTTTTTGTAGTACTTACATTTATGGGTCATTTAAAACCCTAGGATATACAAATCCTTCGTGTGTATATCCGGATACCCGGATTTTGATGGCCTAAGATCATTTGGGTGTATTTTTGGTTATCATATATCAAAATCCTCAAAACCTCTCATATCTTGCTCCTTACAAAAAAAAACATACGGTGAGCAAGTACAAGATTTTGGGAATGCTCGCTTTTGCAATGGGGCACATGCCTACTCCTTTTTCCATTCCTTATAATAATGATATTATTTTAAGTTATAATATTTTATATTTAATAGTTATTATTAAAGTTATGTTAAGAAGCTCACTATATAAAGTATTTTATATTTGTACTAAATAAATTTTGGACACTTTGATATTTTTGTTTTGTAATACAATATTTTTTAGTAAAGTATTTTTTATTATTAAGAGTGGTGTGATATCATCCACATGGGGTATGACATCACCCATATGAAGGATTAAAGACATTTAATGCTCCATACGGGTGATGTCATATCCCATGTCGATGATATCACACACCTCCTAATGACAAAAAATATTTACTAAATAATGCTCAATGTGTAAAATAAAAGTATATAAGTATCCAAAATTTATTAAGTACAATAAACACCCTAACATAATTTAATATCAACATCATTATATTAGTAATATTATATTTTAATATAACATCATTATATTGCCTAAAGTTGTTTTTACATTTAGAAGAGCCGAACATGGGATTTGTTATATACCGGGTAAAACTAGAAGCTACCCAAATCCTAGAATTTGTATACCTAGGATTTGATGCATAACGAGGTTTTGAAAATTTCATACCCGGAACGACCCATTAGTTTCTTAAAAAGATATGCCCTAACTAGAGCTACTTAAATCTATTGTTCTTAAAACCATGTTGTACAAATACTAAAATTTGTATACCTAGGATTTGATGCATAATCAGGTTTTGAAAATATCAAACCCCAAACGACCCATTAGTTTCTTAAAAAGATATGCAGAGGACATGGTAGATGCCCATCCTCGCAAATCAAAGCGTGGTTTTCACGCATGGTGAAAAGATTGGGCCAGTCATTTCGTATTAAGCACTGCTTTAAAACACTGATCAGTGACTCGGATTGACCATCCAAAAATTGGTTAAGAATGGTGGATCTACTAGATTCAACCCTTATTTTTTTATTTTCAAAAAATCACTAAAGGTTCTTAAAAATCTAATTTCTTATGTCTCTAGATAAAATTCCAAGCATGGCGTTTTTCGTTATTCCATTGAGCATACATAAATATTGAGAATCTGGTTCATTCCTGAGCATTTGTTGATTACTGCATCTATTTTATATTAAAAATGAAGTTTAAAATACAACTTATTGCAATAAAATAGATCTCTCTAACTAAATTTTTTTATTTTGTATTTTTACAATCTCCATAACCACTTGTGCTTATAAATATAGGGATCTTGTCTACTCCTTATATTATTTTCCCATTTTCTTGATAATTAACTTATTGAATCACATAATTTTGGGAAAAAATAGTTAAAAAAAACTAGAAATCACAAACAAATCAAAATACTAATTAATAATATAAATAATACAAAAGTACCAAACATCTAACAAAATAATATTATCCAAATTTATTTTAGATAATATAGTCTATTTAAGGTAAAATTATTTGTCATCTACGTCCTAAGAGAAGCTCTCAGATAATTAAAATTTCATCGGAGTTAATTTAAAACATTAAACTATTAGCGTTTGGTGGTACTTAACCAACATTTTCTGACAAAAATGTAATAAATTTATTTTTTATGTGGAGTTTTTTTCTAGTAGAGATTTATTCAATAATTTATAAATCAATTGCAATTTTATATTTTTGTACCAATTAGTAGAAGTGTATCGAAAATGGAACACACTTGCCACGACTTCTCATAGAATTTTGTTAGTTAGAAGCTACCATAGTGCATCAGTACCATTTATTATTGGCATGGCTGAATCTATGTTTTTATTTTCAATATAAGAGTGATTTAGGCGAGGATCCTAAAATTTTAGGTAAAATACAAACTGCTCCATTTATAGGCAAAAATTACAAATAAAGTCGGTCACTCGCCTTTTCTTTTTAAATTTTTTTTTCCAAAATTGTTCATCGGCGAACTCGAATTTTGATTTTTGATTTTTTTTAGTTTTCTCATTAGTATGGTAGTGCCCCAAACTTAGAGACACTGCCCTACTAACAAAAAAAAAAAGAAATTCAAAATTCGAGTTGACCGAAGGGCAATTTTGAAAAAATGAAAAAAGTTGGGTTGAAAGATCTTCTTTGTAATTTCTGCTTAAGTGGAGCATTTTGTATTTTACTTAAAATTTTAAGATCCGTATGTAAATCACTCTTAATATAAAAATTTGGATTAATTTCTCGAATTGGGGCTGTCATTTGTGCCAGGGCTGTGCCACACTTCTATCCATTTGAATGATCTGTGCTATAATATTCTTTTCCAATGGATGTTTTAAACTTTGTAAGAGGTGTTGTTTCTATCTGGAGAGAGAGAGAGCTTTGTGTAAAACATAAGACAAATATACAGGTACAAATGGTAGACATTTGACAGAGTTTCAGATTATCTTCATCACCCATAGCAGACTATGGACGTTATTGGGGTGCTATACAGTTTATGCAGGTCCAAGTGCCTTGTCCCTTTACCTTACCTAAGCATATATGTAGGTCCAACTGATGTTTCGCTTCACTATCATTGCAAAAGTTTTGAGGCATAACAACAATGAGATTCTCACTAGTGTTTAGGGTCTACCAAAGGTTTGTTTTTATTGTTTCATAACGTATTTGGCGATTTGAATTTCGAACTTTGTTAAACAATTTTATGAACTTCGATATGCAAATCAATGTTCTTTATCAGCAAACATGCCTCCACCAATGGTCCTTCAGGGTGGGCCCTTGCCAACCCTGCTAAGTGAGCAATTATTAAAAAACAGATAGTGATAAAAATAACAATAAAAATTTTAAAATGTAAATGTGGGACCGGTTGGTTGGTTTTGTTTAGAAAATCGGTTTATGCGGAACCGACCGGCTCCGGATATATGCAGGAACCAGACTCGCCCCAATGATTCT